ACTGCTGGTGCATCTCGTGTGAGCACCTTCTCCCCCCCTCCTCCCCAGTTCTAGCGCAGGGCATCTGGTCGGCGAGGGTTACCCCCACACACACACACGCTTTTGCGGTGCTGGAGGGCGCAGCGAGGGGCACTGCTTCTTCATCTCTCTGCTTTGACACCTGGGGTGGGGGGGCTCCGCTTGGCGCCCCTTGGCTGCCCCCCGGGCAGGCTGTCGTTACGCAACCGCCGCCGCCCAGCTCCGGACAGACAAGGGTGGACGCGGCGCCTGCCGGCAACTTTGATCTCCTCCCGGCTCGGTCCAGATGCGTTTTTTCCCAAATTTTCCGGACTCTCCCTCCCGAGCTAGCTTTGCGGTAGCCGGAGAGAGAGAGCACCGCTGTCCGGAGGAGACCCGCCCCAGCGGTGAGACAGCAGCCCCCGCTCTTTCCCTTGCAAAACAGAAGCGAGCTTGGCCGTCGGCTGGAGCCCTCCTTTGCATGACAAGCGGGGAGCCCTGGAGCGGAGCCCCCGGGGCCGGTCGGTCCCGTCCAGTCGCCTCCGAGCGATGGCGTCCCCCTGAATGGAAGAGATGCAGCGACAGTGTCCCTGGCACAGGGTCGCAAGGAGCAAGCGTTGGTGGCATCTGCAAGTTGCAAACTGTGTGTGTGTGTGTGTGTGTGTGTGTGTGTGTGTGTGTGTGTGTGTGTGTGTGTGTAAAAGCATTTTCTTGCAACACAACCAAAACAGGCAGGATCTGCGAGTCATCTTGGAAGCAATTTGGAGGGTTCTGGTTAGCCCACTTGTCTCCTGCGCCTGCTCCTTGTCAGATGCCTAGCTAGTAGCGGCTGATGGGTGAGGAGGGGAAAGGCATTTTGCACATGCACAGAGGGATGGTTCTTTATTGCACAATAGCCCTGAGAGCTATAATGCAGGACAACCAAACTTCTGTTTCTAAAGAGAGATGCTGGGCTTTCGCTCTGATCTCTCCCAGCCACCATGGTCAGTGGTGGCTGAGGATGATGGGGATTATTGTCCCCCACCCTGCATGCTGCAGGGCTATCCCCACCATCCTCAAGTGGTAGCTAAGGAGAGTGGGAGTTGTAGTTCAACATACCTGTTGGGTGTCAACGCGGGGAGGGAGGTTTGGAAGGCACCCAACCAAGGATATAGGCACTGGTGCGAAATATGATGGGGCAGAAGGATGGAAACGACACAACCGTGACCATCCGGTCTTGTCCGAGATTGGCTTAAACTGCTTGCAAATGCCTCTCTTCTCCGTCCTTGTATGTGTGGAACTTTGCGGAACACAGTTGACAAAAATGTTTTCAAGTGACATCAGTCCTTGTATGTGTGGAACTTTGCGGAACAAAGTTTTGTAATGTTGCAAAAGGAAATGACAAAAATGTTTTCAAGTGACATCCTATCTTCTCATGAATATGGTTCTTTCTCTTTGAGTTACAGGCTGGACAGACTCCCTGAGAAATTTCGAATTACTCGTGAACGTGTCCTGAGTGTATTCTATGCCTACGCTCGCCAGATTGATGCTCCACGAACTGGGAGCATGCCAGAACTCCGAAATAAAGCATTTCCAACTTCTTCTTCTGAATTATGAGGCTCTCTTGGAGATAGACACGGCCCAGCTGGACAAAATTTAGAAGAATCCATCTGGCCTCACCACCTGGGATTTTTTCCTGTGCTCAATCTCATACATGATGGATTGGTCCCCTAACTTCACCAGCTTCTCCGTCACCACTTCGGCAGTGTCAAACCGGACCGGCTCTCCCGTGGACTTCCTTGAAGAGGTTGGAGGACCTTTGTCTGTCTTTAGTGTCTTGATTTTGACTCTGTTGGCAATGCTGGTGGTGGCTACTTTTGTTTGGAACCTGTTGGTGCTGGCTACCATTTTGAGGGTGCGTACCTTCCACCGGGTCCCCCACAACCTGGTCGCCTCCATGGCTATCTCGGATGTGATGGTGGCTGCCTTGGTGATGCCTCTCAGCCTGGTGCATGAGTTGTCTGGACGCCGCTGGCGCCTGGGTAGGATCCTGTGCCAAGCCTGGATCTCCTGCGATGTGTTGTGTTGCACGGCCAGCATCTGGAACGTCACTGCCATTGCCCTGGATCGCTACTGGTCCATCACCCGGCATCTGGAGTACACACTGCGGACCCGGCGGCGAATCTCCAATATTATGATCGTCCTGACATGGCTCCTCTCTGCCATCATCTCCTTGGCTCCGGTGCTCTTTGGCTGGGGTGAGACCTACTCGGAGGGCAACGAGGAGTGTCAAGTCAGCCGGGAACCTTCTTACACCATCTTCTCCACCGTTGGAGCTTTTTACTTGCCCCTCTGCGTTGTGCTGTTTGTATACTGGAAAATTTACAAGGCAGCCAAATTCCGCATCGGATCCCGGAAGAGCAATTCCATCACTCCCATTAGTCCTGAAGCTCTGGAGGTGAGTCCTTGGTCAGGAGTGGCTCCAGGATTGGGTGCTCACCATAATCATGCTACGAACCAGCCGTATTTATTTTTCATATACAGGTGAAGAGTGTGTTGTGGATTTAGAACTTGGGTAGTTTTCTTTCCCTGGGATTCTGGAAGCTGTGGTCCAAAAAACAAAGCTTTACAAACTCTGTTGGTGATTATGTGCTTTCCTGGGGCATGTGTGCTTCTGCTAATGCTGTTGCGCTGTATCAGGTAAATGTGGGCACAAAAATTCACCAAATTGCCCACACATACACAGTGGCAACAGCAAGCCTTTGATTCAAATTTCACCTCTGCCATGAGCTCACTGCTCTCTGTCTTGCTCCCCACCTAGAGTTTAGGCATCATAATACTGATTTATTTTTACAGGGTTGCGGTGAGGATAACATTTGGAAAGAGTTTTAAACACTTGCAAGCACCTTAGTGCTGAGCATTCAGACTCCTTGATTTTTGTGCCAGAGATTTTAGCAAGTGTTTCATAATGCGACTGAGATCAGAAAGAGGATTTCGTTCTTAAATTTGGCCCGGCAAACGTACTCTGCTGCAAAATGTGGCAGTGTGGAGTGCTCTGTTGAGAATGCTCCATTCCATCCCCACCCCTTTCCCTTATTTCCAACACCCCAACAGTCATGTAGTGTTCCATACCCATTGAGTGTGCCTGGCCTTCACAGAGCTGTTTCTGGGTTCACCCTCCCACAGTTCCTCTTAAAGGTGTTGGGTGTTGTTGTTGTTTAAAAAAAAGTTTTGCAAACCTTAGGATTTCCTTCCCTCTGCAGTTACCTCCCTTTTGTGTACTGTTGGTGGTGTGTTAGCTGCTGTCTCCATCATTTGACACAAATGGGTTTGGCATTAGTAAGGAAGATTAAGCCCCTTAATAGTTAAACATGATAGAAGTTACAGTTTATAAGGAGGAGGACCCGTGCAATGTAGATGCTTTTTATTTGATAGTTGAGATATTTCTATACTTCTGAAAGCACTCTCATGCTGAACCAAGACTGATATAAAAGACTGGGATAAATAATTTGAACAATTCCGTTGTTTTAAACAACAACAGTACCGTTAAGCCATGTAACTCCTGATTATGTTTATTTATGGCATGATGACCACCTTCAAGATTTGTTGGTTGGTTTTTAGCCAGCCACGCAGACTGAAAACAAAACAAAAAATTAACCTTCCAATAATGGGGAAATCTAAAAGATTAACATGGGAGCTGTCATCTTTTCACAGACAGAGAACGTGCGGAACAGGCAGACATTGGCTGATGAAGCTGTTCCTGACATAGAGATAAGGATTATTGCATGGCCATCATTTCTGCCTTAAACTGAGCCAGACCTTTTATCCATCTGCCTCAGTCCAGCATTGATTCTGAGTAACAGCAGATCTCCAGGGCTTCTGTCAAGCCTTAGCCTTGCCTGGAGAGGCCCTGGATTCAACAAGGGATGTGAAATGTGTGCCCTGCAATTGAGCTCCAGCAACTTCCCCTCTCTGAGTTTTAGCTGTCTGACCTTTGCTGGTTTAAAAAAATGGCAATCCTACTTGTTGGCCAGAATCCTGTAGGTGCTTGAGTAAGATTTGGGGAACTTGCCATGACTGATACGAAGATGCCACGGCATATTTTGGCAACACCACTGCGTTCACCACCATATGTGTCGCTGCAGCACACCCTGGCATCTTATCAGTTTGCTGGCAAGTTACACAAACCTTACGCAAACACCAAAAAGGTCCTAGTCTTTGTTTTACCAAAGAGGCAGCACAAGGCATGAGATACCAAGCAAAAGAATAGACATTGTATTGCCTTCTCAGGGGATCATAAAATCTCGCTGGTCTGGGCTCAGTGGCATTGAACCATTGGGTGCAGAAGAACCTGAAGGGCCGGTCACTTGCGGTGGCACCAGCAGAACCCTGTTGCGCCTGACCATTGTCGGCTGATGGTGGAATTGTGGGACTCCATCCATTATCCATCCATCCGGTCAGTTTTGTCCATCGCATGTATGAAGAGCTGCCTCCCTCCTTTTCCAAACACTGCACAGCCATACAAAGGCTGTGATTTATACGCTTGCCACTGTTATCTTTCATTTCAGTTTCGTTTGGGTTTACTGCCTCAGTCACCACCTTTTACTGTTTTGGAGTACCTTACAGCAGTTTGTCAAACAAACATAAATCTACATTTGGGATACACACACTTGTGTTTGGCTTTTTGCCCTGATGACCAGATGATGGCCAGACATCTATGTGAAGAACTCTAGAAAGGCGCAGAGTATAGGAGTGTAAGCGGTTATTAACCAACATGATTATTAACACAGAAGGTCTGTGGATGTTTGGAAGTTAGGAATGAAGAACATTCTTGCTTATCTTTGTGGTAACCTCCAAACTGTATCTCAGACATAATTTGGATAATGGGCTAAGAGTTCTTCCTCTTCTTCTTCTTTGTTCCTTGTAGTTGTGATTTGGAACTAGGGTACCTATTTATGCATCACCACCCCAGACACAGAGCAAACACACCACCCAGAACAGGAATGCTGATTTGCATATCATTTGTTTATGCCAATTTACCTGTGCAGATGCTAATTTAGAAATCCTCACCCCCATTGAAATACGAATTCACAAGGATACCTTCCATTTCAGTGGAGAAGACTGCAAAGGAAAGGCTTAGCCTCCTCCGCCTGTTTGCAGTCTTAGAAAGACGGCAGACACTGGACGGTGGTTGCATACTTTCGTCTTAGCTCAATGCAGAATATGAAGGAAAAAAGCAATGGATAACCTTGTGTTGCTCTCTCGCTGCAAGCGCTTCTCTACTCTTGCCTTTGCTGCTAAATGGGCTGGAGGTGGATCAGAGCCATAGCTATGGTTGGTGACCAAGGATTGACCAGGGCACTGAGATTTAAAGGGCACAAAACATTTCAATAGGAAGGATGTAGACCTTCCGGTAGGTGTTTGCAGCTGGGGAAACACGACCCCCACCTCACCAAGTGCGTATCCCACCCAGGCAGAAAGAAATGCAAAGCACATAGGCTTAGTATGGAACCACCGCGACTGTCACATCCTCCCACCCAGGGGTTCCTTCATCTTCTTGCTCCCTGAGTGACCCACTCTGAAACAGTAGGGCAGCAACAGACCCAGTGCCAAAACTGCCAGTTACAGCCCTGCAGTGCAGTGGTCCCCAACTTTTCTGTCACCGCAAACTGGTTGGGGGAGGACAGGATCCGTGTGCAGGGAAGGTGGTGCACCCCCCCATGCTCACATGCATGCACAAAGGGGAGGGGCTTGCGCAGGTGCGGGCGCACTCGCACGCATGCGTGAAGAGGTGGTGCCTTTCAGGGGCGCTGGCGTGGGCAGGCATGCATGGGCAAAGGAGTGGGGGTGCTTGCGGGGGGCACGCATGACTCATGCGCATGTGTGAGGGGGCTGTACATGCAGGGGTGGGTTGAGATCTATCTCTGTGGCCCAGTCCAGCCCAGGCCACCATCCGGCACTGGGCCACAGACCGGGGGTTGGGGACCCCTGCTGCAGTGGACACGTTCATGCTCAATGTGAGCTACGTTGTATTATCAACTTTTTCCCTTGGTGCCTGTGATGATTTCTCTTCAACACGTGAGAGAACACAACAATAGCTTGTTAATGTAAGACAGGAATAAACCACCCAGAAAGAAATGGTTCTTTCTCCCCCTCTTTCTTTCTTATCTAGAGGCTCAGTACTATTATTCCCACTGTGTTATCTTTGATTCTGGAAAAGTTTTTTTTTTAACTGCCGCTCTCAGGAATCTGTAGCCTTCATGGCCCCTAGCCCTGCTCTTTGGTGGATGTTGGATTCTGTTGTAAGCTTTTCTGTATAGAATATTAAGTTTCAGGTGTTCGAACACCTTCCCATTTCATATCTCTGGGTGGTTGATCTGGCGGTGTGTTGTTCTGTTTCGTTATTGAGTTCGTAGAGAAATTTAGATGCCAACGTTGAGATGGAGAAAAAAAATTTCCCCATGCAAAGCTGCTGCTCAGAAACCATCCCCGGATGTAAGTCCTGGAGACAGTTGCCATTTGGAGTAACTTGAACTTTAATTAAGCAACTTCTCCTTCCCCGTTGCTGTTCAGTGTTGGATTAGAGCTTCTAAAGCTGTGTTTCAGTTTATTAAAGTGCTAAACCATCAGGAGGCAGGAGCCTGTTCAAACATCTGTGTAATGTCTAGGCTTGCCCTCGTTAGCTCTATGTCATGGCCAAAGTCTGGGAGTATCAGCAGTTAACTTTTTTTTTTTTAATTCAACTATGAATTTAGCTCTTCAATACCTCCCAGTCCATCTATATTTAGGGAGCAGAGGCCACAGGGTAACAATGTCTTCATATGCAAAATAACACAATGCGGTCTTGACTTTATCCAGAATGTTAAAACCTTTGACTCGAACACTTCCAGATTTATATACCAAGTGGCAGCCGACAGCTCCGTTGGGCAGCCTGGCAATATCACTAAGCTTGGCAGCCGGTCCAGACCGAAGCAGCCGTGACCCATCCCTTGGCACACAGCGCTGTCAAGCTGTAATCTCACAACCTCAGCTGAGAAGCAGCCCCGAGCTCATTGTCTTGCAGCTCTCATTTAACATTTAATTATCATCTCTGCTGTATCAAGGCATGGACATTCTGCCTCCCCAGAGGCTACAGCAGAGCGGGGGGAAAAACATCGGGCTAGTTTTATAGACGCTGTGGACTTCAAGGAAGGGGAAAGTATGTGAGAAAGCAGAGGCCGAGTGTTTCGGTTCTAGCAGACAGCCTGGGGGTAAAAGGACAGCATATGCCCAGGCCAGTAAAAGAGAGCATGGAGGCAAACGGTATCCCAGGATGTTGCGTGGAGTTCGATTCCCCACTGCTGGAGGCAAACGGTATCCCAGGATGTTGCATGGAGTTCGATTCCCCACTGCGCCACCTGCGAGTAGAGCCAGCCTGTGTGGAGAAGTCGAAAGGCCTGTGAAATTGCTCATGGAAACCGCCTTGGATCCTTTTAAGGAGAAATGTGGGGTAAAAATATTATAAAGAAACCAAATTGAGCAGCTGGCAAATAAATCAGCTAGTCATCACCTTCCCTACCAACTATGTCAGGTGGATTCTGTTTCAATTGAAAGAACTAATTATTTCTAAACGTCCATCTGTTCATCCAAATGAATAATAATTGTGTGCCATCCAGTGAATTCACTCTTAGGGTGACCCTTTTCAAGGTTTTTTAGGCAGAGAAGACTCAGAAGGGGTTTACCATTCTCTTCTTTTGGGAGCAGCTCTGGGGACTGTGCAGCTTGCCCAAGGCCACCCAGGCTGGCTTTCCTGGGATGCACGGAGGGGAATTGAACTCCCCGCCGTTAGCACACACTGCATGACTTCTTCAGCCAGGAGTCTTGTGGTGTAGTGAAGGCGACATCCAGTTCAAGCATGGTTGGAGAGGTTAATGGGTGTGATCATGCCCTGCACTTTGGATTCTTGACCCAAATAATGAAGCCAAAAAGGGACTGCCTACACAAAGTCAGATATTAAAGAAATCACACACGATGCCCCTATAGAAACATCTTTAAAAAGATTTGTTGTGTGGGAGAACTGTTACTTGCAACCAATCTTTCTGTAGACCAGGATCAGTAAAACAAAGTAGAGGGCTCCTAGTCCCTCTCATGCCTCTAAACCATAAAATTGATCCTAAAATGGACTTCTGGTGATATTTGGCTTTGATTTTTTCCCCCTCTTCTATTTCTTTAAAATTGTTCCTCCTCATTTCCAAGGCTGGCGTGGTCTCCAGTGGGTCATGGGGCTAAAAAAATGCCTCCAAGACCTTCCAAAGATGTACAGCCTTGCTTTGGGTTCATTGGCCAAACTCCTGTTCTGCAATCATGCCAGTGGTCTAACGTGTAGATTCAAACTGCTGCAAGTTAAGCAATTTCTGCAGATATTCTCTTTTGCATAGTGAGCTGTGTGACTTGGCATGCAACAGACAATGTCTACGGAGATTTCTTAACTTGAGTGCAACAAGATTCGATCCATTGAATCTTCTGGGAGCAGCTCTGGGGACTGTGCAGTTTGCCCAAGGCCACCCAGGTCTATCCTTGTAGCCGTCTGTGATACAAGGATAGAAAAACAGGTGATATAGAAAAAGACCATAAAGTTCCAGCATCATTACATAGCGTGAGGGATCACTATGATAAATGCATTATAGGGAGAAAACATTAAGTGGGAAATGCCTTATGAATCTGCTTTACTACCCATGTTCTTCCAGTCTTCTCAATAAAGTCCAATCAGATGTTTGTTTGGGAGGGGAAGTGTCACAGCGGGTAGCCAGTAAACCAGAGTCTGCAAGCGCCAGGCTTCTCCTCATGTGGGCAGCTGGACTGTCTGTAGCATCTGGCACTTCCTGGCAGCTCTGGTGATTAATGAAGGCACGGGTGGGTGGGTGTATTGGAGGTGAGGATAATGATACAAAACAATATCTCCATATTTCATGGCTGGATAGACTTCAAGCTCGCTGGATCTGGGTTTTGGGGGGTTTGTTTGTTTGTTTCTAAGTTCTTGATGGTTCAAAATATCAACTTGATTCCAGTTTTAAAGAGTTCTAAGCCCAAGAGTTTCTTTGGAGCACTAGAACTCAATGTAGCTCATGCAGCTGTCATGCAAAAATCTGCTCCTGGTCACCATCCCTAACATTCTTCGGTTCAACAGTATAACATAGAGCAAAGAAGGGTTGTGTTTCTGCTGTCATCCAACAATCAGCAGTCAGAAATCCTTGGAGACTTACTTAAATTATCCAGAGGTCTACCAGCAGATCCCAGTCTGCCCATCACTGCCATATTTTGTGAGATCCCACAGCACATCAAGGAAAGGAGTATTTCCGGTGACCATACTATTTCTCTTCTAGTTCTGCAGGTCCATGAAAGTTCTGTTGCTTTTCGCGAGAAGGAGGTGACTCTGGATGTTCCAGGAACATGCAAACAGAATTGAGACTTAAAAGGTGGTGATGGTCTAGGTGTTTGTTTGCATGCATCGGAATGAGGGTACATGACTGTGTGACCCTGGTTCAGATTTATCACCCCACCATCAAGCCTCATGTCGGCAAAATCTCAGGGGCACAAAACCTTGCGTGATTTTGTGTTTGGCTGTTGGCTGCAGACCAGCCAGCAAAGTGTAGCCCTTGACAATTCTGTTTCTATTTGGCAGGTCAAGGAAGCGTCCCACCAAACTCAGATGGTGTTCACCGTCCGCCACGCCACGGTGACTTTCCAGACGGATGGAGACACATGGAGGGAACAGAAGGAGAAGAAAGCTGCCCTCATGGTGGGCATCCTCATCGGAGTCTTTGTCTTGTGTTGGATTCCCTTCTTCATCACTGAACTCATCCACCCGCTCTGCTCCTGTGATATCCCACCCATCTGGAAAAGCATTTTCCTTTGGCTCGGCTATTCCAATTCCTTCTTCAACCCCCTGATATATACAGCCTTCAACAAGAACTACAACAATGCCTTCAAGAGTCTGTTCTCTAGGCAACCATGAATGACCGGAGGGAAAGGGATCCAGGTATATTTTTTTAAAAAACCCTTCCTCATCTTGGAGAAAAAGAGAGAGAGAACTAGAGACTAACAGGACCTCTTGGAAGAATCTTGAGAGGTTATGAGATAACTTAATCATTTCCTGATTAATGCTTTGTTGTTTGGGGGGGATTTATATCTTCTTCTGGAAGGTAGCTATGGAGATACTGGTGTTTTCTGCAGCAATATTTTGTTTTTCAGAGAACCTACTCTTGCTTCACAATTCTTGGTCCAATTGCAGTTCTTAATGTTGTGTGGCACCTTGCTCCGTGAGTGTGATGGCCACCCCTTGAATACAGCCTGTGACGTGTTTTGAAATGAATGATGATCTTCCCTTCTTGCAGTCCATGCCCTTTTATGAAAGGGGAAATGACCCATGCTGTGATGTTAACTCCTTAGAGCAGCCATTCTCAACAGTGGTCATATGGCCCCTTCGGGCACTCCGGCACATTTGAAATGGGGCACAGATTCATCTGTTTGTGTTGTATCCTTGTTTGCACACAGCCCAAGGCTTTCCTTGCTTGAAAGGGGCACCTGGAACTTGAGAAGAGCTCCTAAGAGGGCTATGGTCCAAAAAGGGTTGAGAAGGGTTGCCTTAGAGCAGGGTCTCCAAACTATTGAGTGTGGGGGC